CCATCCCAGCGCTCCCGTCAAAGGTGCTTTTTCCCATTGGACATCAGAAGGGAGTTGTCTTTGTTGTCTTTGTTGTGTTTTTTAGGTTAAATGACTTCGCAGGCGCGGCTGTCGGCGTGTAACGCGGGGCCTGCTCGGAAGGGCTGGTTCGCCTTTACACGAAGGCAAGAGGAGGGGAAGACGGCTGCCCGTCCGGTAGCGCTTGGGCAAATGGCCGTAACCCTGGGGAGATGGACGGGTGGATAGAGCGTTTAGTTGTCCAGAGCCTGAAAATAAACTGTCGTATGAAAATGGGTTAAAAGATCAGAACAAAAACGGCCTTCAGCGAGGTGCTGTTCGGCTCTGCCAGTTCTTAGCCCTTGTGTTCTGAGACGAACAGTAAAAACAGAGCCCACGTGATGATGTTTGACACTTTATTAGCTGTCTAATACTTCTTTATAAATACCTGCAATATCGGAAATGTCACCACTATACTGAAGTAATAAGTTATTAAAACACATTCTGAAAACGGTATACGGACCAAAATGGCGTCTCCTATTAGCTGTGCTCCCAGGAGTACATTTTTTTCTACCTTTTAAGTACTGATACTCGTGGAATAATACTTTGTTGACATAACATAAGGGGCGAACTCCTTTTTTTGCTTACAGTTTTCCCTCGGGTGCCTTCCATCGCTGAAGACACTTTGTTAATCGCTGTTATCTAATGGATACCCTTATTTCCCATTATTCTGCAGGACCAGGAGTGGTCTGCGGGCGGGGCAACGCTACTCGGCATTTCCCAGCATCGATCTCTCTTTCACGGGCTCTGGGTGTGCTGAGCCCTCTGGCCCGGTCCTGCAAGGCGTTTAAATAAGTATTCCGTGTCAAAGGATGTAAAATAGTCTTTTAAGACCCGGGTTAGTAAACAACAGGGTTACAGTCGGAGTTCCGGCCCCACTGGAGCGAATGGGGACACGTCACGGAGTTTGAGGGACAGAGGGTGTCACCCTAAGCAGAGGGTAAAGACCGGAGTTCAGCACGCTGCAAGCTTCAGCCCTCTGTATTAAAAAGAGGAGAGACAAGAACTGCCCCGCCTGCAAAACGCAAAGCGAAAGAAATAACGTTTCCCTCGCCTAAACACTCTCCCGTGTTACCGGCGCCCGCTTTCTCCGGAGTGGTGTCTTGCTGTGCATCTGCCTCCCCGTTGAAGGTATGACCGTTAGTTGTTTAAGGGTTGGCCCTTAATTAAAAAAAAAAAAAAAAAAAGCTCATTTCTGGTCGAAACCTAATATTTTTCCAACTAAAAAACCCTCTTGAACATCCGATCTCTCCTCTGTATTCGGCTTTACAAGCGCCCTAAACATAAATGAGCTTCATACGGTATGGATCAGCCCTTACACGTAGTTTTATGATTTCTGCTTGTGCTGTAAATAAATATGAAAGTCGCCGTGTTGCATTGGCCTTCCTGCCGCTCCGATTACGGCGCTGACCCGCCCTCTGCGCCGAGCCGGGTGTCCGTAATGGCGGCTTTCAGCTTCAGCAAAACTACAATTTTTCTGTGCAGCCCCTCCTTTATCAGCTACCGGGTTGTACGTCCCCATCCTGGAACAACTAACTTCATGTACAAATTTCGTCCTTCTCCAGTTGAGATTTTTTTTTGCCCGAACACATTGTTACATGCGTACGGCCCAAACCGCGAGGGGTGCAGGTCACGGTCATCGCCTCGGGTTGGCAAACCTCGCGCTGGATCCCACCGGCTGGGGAAAAAAAAACGCTTTCTTTTAACCCCCCCCCCCCCCCCAGCGCGTAATATGGCTTTTCCTGTCTGATCACTTGTTCTGTATTAAAATCTGCAAATGCTTATCCTGCGGCTTGGTAAATAACTGCCTAAAAAATTCCTTTTCAAGAAGTTTCGTCAACTGATTTCATTCACCTTAAAAAAAACCAAACAAAATAGGTGTAAACTCATTGTCCTCACTCAGGAAACAACAGCACCGTTGCGTGTCACAAAGTCTCACGACGCGCCGTGGAAAGAGTCGCGTTGTTCTTCGTTAGAACTCGTCGTGTCAGTCGTGACCTGGGATGCCAACGCAGAGGCCGGACGGGCCAGCACTCCCGGCTGGCGACAATCCTACCGCCAGCGCCTATCCACAGCAAGGCTGAACGTGGGAAGAAGTGAAACCGGGGTGGAACGAAAGCACAGATCAAGCAGAGGTCGTCTACCGTCTAGAGATAATAAAGGAACCACTGGCAAACACTTTTTCTCCGGATAGGATCAAACAGCTGGGTTCAAAGGCTCCTACAAGCCTTGTCTAATAGAGCAGCAAGCCTACAGCTGGGTCTTGTAACAGCGACTGTAGATGTCACGTCGATGGTCAGCGATAATCCAGACGCCCCCTCTCCCCTAAGCGAATAAACCCTTCGGGACTATTTACAGGAACCGACAAAACTCTGTCGTAGAGACAGCTTACTGCCTTCGTAGGGAAGGTGAAAGAAATCCTTTTTCTGCTGTTTGCTCCTCGTTTTTAAGCCACTTGGGATCTTTTCAAGCCACAGGTGGCCAAAACTGTTAATTTGTCGGAAGACGGAGTCGCCAGCCGCCTTTCCTTAGTCGGGTCCGTACAGACACACACTCACAGTGACCAGGTACAACTGCACTGGCAACAGGACGCTAAATAAGGATGCTCCACACGACAGACCACGGGCTCCCGACGCACACCTACGCTCGGGGCGCTCCTGTGTCCCCCCCCCGGCTTCCCCCACCTCTCCCCGTGCCAGCGTCCAAGGGTCAGTGGGATATTGCTTGTCGAAGCCGTGGCGAGCCGGCAGTGGCGCCCAGCGCCCT